TATTTATCCTAAATAATTTAAAGTTCTTGCCTGATTATTTAAACATCTGAGTCATTTGTGTATCTGCTTCTATTGGTTGCTTTTGCTCTTGATTGCGGTCCTGTTTTTGCTTCTTTGTCTATGTCATAATTTTTGTAATATGATGTATATTGTATATAAAAGGAGAGTAAAGCCTAAATAATATTTCCCCTTAGAAAAGGAGATGCTCCTTTTGTTGTGCCTCTAATGAGGAGGGGTCTGAGTCAATTCAGTTTGTACTTCAGGTGGGCCTGGGTTTGATCTCATCTTTAGTTGAACTGATTTTACCACTGTTTTCAAATATTTTGAAGGTGGTATCAAGTCTTTCCGCCCAGCAGGGCTGGGATCTGAGCACTGGTGAGATTCTAGAGACCCCTATTTCTTCCAGCCCAGCCACCAGTTTCCAAATAACAGGACTGCAGTCTCTGCAGCCTGAGCACCAGTTTCTTGGGGGTACTGTGGATTACTGTTCAGTCCTGCCTGTAGCTTTCTGCTCCAATTTACATTCTTGCCAGAAATCTGGTTTGAGTTCTGTCAGAAACAGACACTGAGAATAGTATTTGAGGACAACTAGTTTATTTGGGAGTTGATCCCAGGAAACACTGGCAGAGAATGGGGAATTGAGACAGGGAAGGGAAGGCAGCCAATGAACATGGCTAGTCAAGCCAGTTACCAATGTGGGCAAACGGAGCTCAGCCCTGCTGGGGATGCTCTGGGGGAGAGTACACAGCGTGCATCAGAGCCTCCCCAACGGAGGGGCCAGGAGCTGGGTTTTTATCCACCACCTCCATTAGAGGTTGGGTGTAGGCTGCTCTCAGGACCACTGAGCCAAAGGCTAAGTGTATCGGTAGGGGAAGGGGAGTCAGGAAAAAAAAAACCCAACCAGGTGGAGAGTCACAGGTGTGCAGCTGTAATGCAAGTGCCTGACATCAAGCTTTTTACAGTGAGGCATCCATTTCAAAAGACATCCATCTGGAATAAATATGCTGGCCGCTGCTAGCAAAACAACTAGATAAGGAACCAGGCTGCCCCACCCACGAAGGTCCCTCTTTCAGAAAACCCTAGGTAACCTAGATAACTGGCCACTTGAGTGATCCTGCCTTCCCCTCCCTGCACCCTAATTCCTCCTCATATGTTTTAAATTTTCTAGTTAAAAGTAAATCTGCAAAGTGCTAGGCACCCCACCCTAGATCCCAACAAAGGCCCAGCCCCCAGTCTATGTTCACTCACTCCCTCTTTCAGTCTCTGCGTGCTGTTTACCCTCCAGGACCTGTAAGTAATAAATCTTGTTCCTCAAAGTTCCTGATGCTTCCTTGCTGAAGAGCATCCTCTGACCATAAAAAGAACCACAAGAGATGCCCAAGCCATAAATAGGGGCTCCAGTGGGAGAAAAGCCTGTGGAGCCCCCTACAAGTGATGTGTGCCCAGGTGAGCACCACAGGCATTCCTAACCAAGGGTACCACCTTCAGTAGGCTTGGGACCAACAGACTGGCCTTCAGGATTGAGGGGCTAGGGACGGGGCAGCAAAGGTAAGTTACATAAAGAGAAATCTGAGCTTAGCCAGCACCATATTTCCAATTCACTCCAGTGTTATCTTAACGCCCCCACCCTGCCCCTGCTGCTTGGAAGCCCAAACAGGTGGCCATCCTTTCTTGTGGTCCCAGATGGAGGTGCCATATGCCCTCCACTTTACAGATGGAGAAACTGAGGCTCAAAGAAGGGCTGAGTAGCCCAAGAATACAATTAGGTGAAGGCAGGACTGGTATTTTCAAACTCAAGTGTGTCTGATCCTAAAGTCCAAGTTCCTCACGAGGCTGAAGTCTATTACTGAAGACAATCAGTGGATGAAGGAGTAAAGGGAAGCAATGGAGAGGTGTGATGAAAAGACTTGGATTGTCTTTCATGATCGTCTTTGGTTCCTTGACTGCTCAGGGAGGCTACGAGGCATGAGGTCCAGAAATTAGAGCTTTGGGAAGATTCTTTAGTGGACATATTCCTCCCTTCCTCCAACTCTCACCTCCTCAACAGATCATATGAGATGCTCTGTGATCCATTTCCATGCCACCTCTCTGTTCCCAATAACTCCAGGCACGTTCCTACCTCCCTACCACAATATCCCTCATTCCCTCGGTCTTCCCTTATTCATCTTGGAAATCCTTCTTCTGAGGCTGCCTCCCTGAGGGGAGGCTTCCCAGGCTGACTCTTTCAGAAGTGTTTGTTCCTTCCCCTAACCGAGAACACACTACTTCTACTTTTACTGAAAACATTCTGATCCTCTTAGTGTGGCTGTAATTCATCGGCGAGCCTGGCTCCCTCCTTAGATTGAGTTCCTTGAGGGTGTGGTTGAACTAGTACTTCTGCAGCGCCTTGAGTGCCTGGCGTGGTGCCAGTGTTCCTTCATCTGAGACTCCCGTGTAACTCACTCTTGGTGCCCCATCCGTATCTCTTCAGTGTATCCTCTGTTCCTGAAGCTGCTTACTGCACCCCTGCAACTCTGCACTGGGTTGTTTTTTCTGACCCCATCCCTCCAGCACGCTTGGTCCTTGTGTTAATGCTCCTGGGAGCAGCCCTCACCCATCCCCTAATGGAGGTGGTGAGTAGAACCCCAGCTCATGACTCCTCACGGGGGACAGCTCTGATGCATGGTCTACACTTTCTCCCAGAGCATCCCCAGCAGGATCCACATTGGCCAGCCC